ACCAAAACAGTGTCTAAAAGCTGGGCATGGTGGCTCATGCTGCAATCCCAGCACTCTGGGAGGCTGAGGCAAGAGGATACCTTGAGCTCAGAACTTTGAGACCAGCCTGAGCAAGACAGAAACCTCATCTCTACTAAAAATAGAAAAAATTAGCCAAGTGTTTTGACAGGAACCTGTAGTCCCAGCTACTCAGAAGATGAGGCAGGTGCATCATTTGAACCCAAGTTTGAGGTTGCTGTGAGCTAGGCTGGTACCATAGCAGTCTAGCCTGGGTCACTAACTGAGACTCTGTCTCAAAAAAAAAAAGGGAAGCATTGACTAGAGAAAGCAACAATATTAAACTCTGATACATGGGGATTTAACAGAACAAGAAAACTAAATAAATATAAACAAACATTTGATTTGTTTGTTTCTAACTACAATGGAAACATGAAAACAACCAGGATTCCCGGCTGCCTGCTTTCTGGGCCACCTGGTTTAGGACTTGGGCTCTGGCTGCTTCTTCACCATCTTTGGTGAGGTCCCCTGTTGAGTTATTAACTTTCCACAGTAAGTTTTCTCCTGCGACAGCCCGAGTGCAGAGCTTTTGACCTCTCAGCCTCACCCCAGGCCCTGGAAGACCTCAACATCCTGAGTGTTCCCATGCTCCTATGGGACCAGCTCCATCAATTACAGGGCTTAGTGAAAAATGAATAATTTTTATCAGCCATGTCCCTGTTCAACATGATTAAGAAGCATTTTATCCATGATAATAGCAGGTAATCCTTGCTAGACCAAGTGCTTTACAGACACAAGAACCCATTCCATCTTCACAGTGACACTAGGAGGTAGATGCTGTTATCAGCTCCACTGATGATGCACGGAGAGGTTAAGTAACCTTCTCAGAGTCACAGAGTTGGTGAGGGCTCGTGCTGGGAGTCAAGCTCAGTCAGTCCATGTCATCTAACCACACTGCTACCCCTCCACACCCCTCCAGTATCCCACCATTATATGATGTAAGTCATACTGTCCCTACTTGAGTAGGAAAGTTGCTTTGCCTCAGCAGCTCACCTGAGCCTGGAAGGTGCTGCCAACACACTCAGCAGGAAAGGCAGGGAGGGAGAATCCCCTGGTTCCCAGACTATAGCTGCATCTGGGAAAGGAGGACAGAGTGATGGGCTCCACTGGCAGAGCCCTTGCAATGCCCTGGGTCATCTGCCTGTCTTCCCTGTTGGGCCATGAGCTCTGGAATTGCAGTGCCCTCCTCTTCCCTGTTCACAGCTATATCCACAGGGTTTGGCACATTGCAAATGCTCAGTAAACTTTTGTGTAATGAGCAGACGTGAGGCCCTGGGTGCCAGACCCTGCCACAGAAACACGCCTACTCCTTGATGGCTTGTGATGAGACCAGCTAAAGGTAGCTCCACATCTTCCTACAAATGAGATTTTCCTGGACAACACCCATGTTTCCTCTCCTTCAGGCCATGACCTTCCTTGCTGTATGCCTTTCCAATCAGTCAACAACACAAACATACTGTCAAGTTTGGAGAAGATGATTCTGCTCCAGTCTATGGAAAGGATGTAATATACAAAAAAGAGGATCTTAACACTGACAGTTCTGCATCCTGGGAA